TATGGGATCGGGATTTGGAGTTCAAAGCGCAGCTCGGTCACTCAGTAGCTGCCTGACCTTGGGCAGATTACTTCTCTCAAAAAACACATACAGGAGATAATCCCACCAAACGCTCATCCTGGAGCGTTGGTACTCAACAAACACAAACAATGAAAAGAAGGCTAGCTAGATGACAGACTTGGTGTTCTGAGGAACACAGAGAGTGAACAAGCTCTGACTCTCAAAGGGAGGATGAAAATAATCACAGTGTAAGAGATAACCTTGATTTTCGTCTCTAAGAATGTCACATTATATATCCAGAGTTTAAAGGGAAGGATAGCCTGACAACCCAAGAAATGGGAGTTGGGGCATGGGGCAGGAAGTGGGATTGCAGAATGAGGACAAGTTTCATGGGATGAAGTGGCTTTAGGGAACATTTTGAAAAATAATGAAAGCTCTGGCAGGAAAATTCCACTTTAGCTGGAGTGCAGTGAACTGGTGTATTAGTCTGCTTTTGGCTATTATAACAAAATACCGAAGGCCAGGAAGCTTTATAAAGAAAAGAGGTTTGTCTTGGCTCCTGGTTGGGGAGTTGTGAGATCAAGGGGCCACATCTGGTTTTCTTGTTGACAGAGTTCCAGAGCTTCTGAAATCCAGATCCTGCACAACTGCCTCTTCCATGCTAACCTCACCATCAACTCAAAGCTGTGTAGAATCAGAAGTGAAAGATCCCTGGGTGTGTGATTGGCATCTCAAGGTGGGTAGTCTTGTGGAACGCAGCCCTTTAACTTGTAGGAACTGACCCTAACTCCAGGTCAACAACATCAGCACTGGCCTAAACTAAAGGACAACCAGACAAGGTCTGTGGAGAACTGTTGTGGAAACATTGCAGAGTTTCTCAAATCAGAGCATGCTCACCTGGTAAGCCAATTCTAGCAAGCCAGTCACAAACATCAGGCTTGTAAAGAGAGAGGGGTGAATGGAGATGAGACAAGAGTTGAACTTGCAATCATATGGAATTTATTCATGGAATAAGTTCGCAGTGGTGGCTAACTGCCGGCAAGCACACTGAGCAAGCAGGTGACAGAGAGCCCAGCCCTCCAGCAGGTTGGGTCTTAGGTAGCTTCAGGTAGTCCTGGGGATCCAGGAGGGAGAGCAGTGGGCAGAGCTGATCTGGTTTGCACAAGCTTTTTGCAGGCGGACCTTTCTCTCTGCATGCTAGAAAAGAAACCAGAGGGTGGGGTGTGGGAAGAATACAAGGTGTGGGACTGAATTTGTGGAGAAAGAATTCAGGGACTCAGGAGTCCCTAGGGGTTTGGGGTCTGCTCTCAGGCAAGGGGTCCAAATAGCTCTGAAGCTCCTGGCCTTGCTCTGTTGGGGCTGGTAGAAGAAAGTATGTTTTTATTGTGAAGTTCAGAGCCAAGAGCCAAGCAACATTGTTGACTGCATTAGGACAAAGATATTTATAGGTTGGAGATGGTTTTGAGAAGTACATGTTGAGGTCACATGAGGGTCTCAGGTTGGTCTGTGGTGCTTGTGGCCCTGCCTGGAGTGGTCCACATTAGCACATTGTGTTTTAGGAATTTTGATGATGACAAAGTGGGTGTTTGTCAGTCAGGTGGGAGATGCTTCTTGGCCAGGTTCTGGACCTCCAGGAGACACACTCAAAATAAGAACAAATGCTGAGCTGTTCTCTAAGGGGGAGGCCAATGCTGCACCATGCCCTCAGTGCAATGAGTAGCTCTTAGGAGAAGGTTGATTTGCAATCTCAGAAGTAGAGTAGGAAGCAAAGCTAAAGGAGGAAGCAAGGAGGGGGGCTATTAGGACTTGCTGGAGTCTAGTGTCCATATCAAAAGGCACCGTGGAAGGTTTTAAAACCTGCCCCTCTACAGATTTCAGTGGGCAGAAGTGGCATATTGAGAATAGCAACCCAAGTGCCTCTTGTCCCTTTCCTGGTCAGCCCGGAGCTCTGTGGCCTCATCTACCTGTGTCCAGATGCTTACAGCTGCTGCCACTTCACCTGGGCATCTCCACCTACAACCAGCCCAAAAACACAGCCTTGAATGGGGCAGCTCCTCTGTCTGCCAGGTTAAATTCAACCCTCAGCCATCAAAGTCTTCAGGACTGAATCCTAACTGTGAAGTATTAAGAGGGTGGAAATGTACCCTGGCTGTAGCGTTGAGGGGTATACTCACACGGTCAGAATAAGTCCACACCTCTAAAATCCATCTGCCAGGAGCATACGATTCTGGCGTATAAACAACCCTACAAGTGTAGGGACCCAAACCCTGCTGAATCCACAATAATGACAGTCTTTGGCTAAGTCATTCAGGTGAAGTCCCCATGACGGAATCCTGACAGTTTCAATGTAGACCCAGCAGTGGGAGAGACACACAGGCCGACACGTACACTCCCTGACTCTTGCCATGTGATGCCCTGGGCTGACCTGGGTCTCTGAGAGGAGGAAGCTATCAGCAGAGTCTCTGCCCAGTGCAGCTCCAGAATCATGAGCCCAGGTACACTTTGCTTTGTAAAATAAAACCTGTCGGGGCCCAGCACTATGGCTCAGTGGCTAAATCTTTGCATGTGCCGGCATCCCATATGGGCATCGGTTTGTGTCCCAGCTGCTCAATTTCCCATCCAAATCCTTGTTTATGGCCTAAGAAAGCAGTGGAGGACAGCCCAAAGCCTTAGGACTGAGTATCTGCATTGGGAGACCTGGAAGAAACTCCTGGCTTCAGATCTGCTCAGCTCTGGCCATTGTGGTCACTTGGGGAGTGAACCAGTGTACAGAAGCTCTTTATTTGTCTCTTCTCTGTACATCTGCCTCTTTAATTAAAGAAATATACATTTAAAATAAATAAATAAAAGCAATAGAAGATGGCCCAAGTGCTTGGGCCCCTGGAGTCCTGTGGGAGACACAGAAGAAGCTCCTAGCTTCAGCCTGGTCCAGCCCTGACCGGTGTGGCCATTTGGGGAGTGAACCAGTGGAGGACGGCCCAAGGCCTTGAGTCCCTACACCCACACAGGAACTCAGGAGAACCTCCAGGCTCCTGGCTTTGGACTGGCGCAGTTTCAGTCATTGGGGCCTTTAGGGAATGATCCAACAGATAAAAGTTCTCTCTTTTAGCCTCTCCTTTCATTCTGTAACTCTTTCAAATACAATATCTATAATAAATTTTGTAAAAGTAAAATAATTTTTTTTTACGATTTAAGCCCATCCTATGACCTCAAGTTTTACTGTGACAAAATAGAATAAAATTTTCATAGAATTCTGTTAAACATAAGATCTAAAAGTTTACTATTTAAGAAACAGTGGGTATTACAGTCTATAAGATAATGTTTCATAAGGTTATATGACTTTTTTAAAAGCATAGGTTTACTATCATTTCCATCCTTTCATTCAATCTGGATCTTCACTCTGTTGATATCAGGAGTTGGGGACATGAATTTGTGCTCACTCAGGGAGTAAAGGACAGCGGTCCTGGGTCTCAACAGCCTAATCTGCCACCCTGTGGAACAGACATATCATATGGGCACCAGTTTATGCCCTGGTTCCTCCACATCCAGCTCCCTGCTTGTGGCCTGGAAGGACAGTAGAGGACGGCCCAAGGCTTTGGGTCCCTGCACCCATGTGGGAGACCTGGAAGAAGCTCCTGGCTCTGGATTGACTAGCTCTGGCCAATGCGACCATTTGGGGAGTGAACCAATTCATGAAGGGTTTTCCTCTCTCTGCTTCTCTCTGTAAATCTGCCTTTCTAAATGAATGAATGAATGAATCAATCAATCAATTCTGTGCCAAGAGCTGCAGAGCAGAGGTGCCTGCATCAAGGAAGCTGACCTGCGGTAGGTGGGGAGCTGGAGATGGCATCCGAGAGGTGGCGAAGGTGGGTCCCACAGGGTGGGGAGAGTTTGGGCTGGGAGCCGTAGAGCAGCGGGCAGGCCTTGAGCACGGAGGCCCGTCGCAGCACTGGACTGTTGCTGTCAAGCTCGCTCTGGCTGCTGCTCTCAAGGCAGCCTGCAAGTACTCATTGTGTTTGGAGCAGCCAGAAAGATACACTCGCTGTTTCCTGAGCTGGGAAAGCCCAATAGCTAACAGGTTTAAGCACTGTAGGAGCCTCTCTGCCTTGAGACTGTAGGAGTTGCCACTTGCCTCCCACGCACAAGCCAGACCTCTCAGTAATCCACAGACCCAGCCATGCACCTTGCCAGGGGCCTCTGTCACCCTCCATTTCCAGCAAGGGACACACTGGGATGATTTATCCCACCAGAGGGAGACCTGTTGAAGATGACCCCAAGGTGTTTTTTGTTGTTGTTTTTGTTTTTTTGCCGAGGGGTGGCGTTTCGCAGTTGGATGTGGCGGGCGGATGGGCAGTCACGCTCCTGTTTTAGGGCTGGTCTGAAGGGGGACGATCACCTGCTAGGTTGAGGTGTGTGCTAACGAGGTATTCTAGGAAACCCAATCAGGAGTCAGCAATGCTTGACCATAGGGCGTTCAGTACAGAGCGTGATCCACCAGGTCCATGGCTGACAGGAGGTTGGGTTTACCACCTGGTCTTTTGGCTCTTCCTCGGGGCTCCAGAAGGGTTCCTTCCTGCACTTCCTTCCCGCTCTGTGGTCCCCGGGAGTATTTATTTATCAACACTGTTTTTATTCATCCCCTTCCTTGGAGCTTGAACCGGGTTATCAGCCCACTCAGCTCTCTGGGCGCAGGTGTATCAACATCCAAGAGGGCGAGGACAAGGAAGACCTGGATGGCCTCGGCCGGGTGCTTTGCAGCAGGTGGAAGCTGGGGAGGCCAGGCGCGGATGGGGATCACCCGCAGCCCGTGCCCCCAGGGCGGTGGCGGGGCGGGGCAGGGGCGGGACAGGGCTGCGTGCGTCCGCCCAGGAGCGGGCTGGGCGCGGGGCGGCTCCTCGCGGGCCGTAAAAGGCCCGGGCTGCCCGGGGAGGTGTGGCCCTTCCCGCGGGAGTCCCGCGCCGCCGCCCGCAGTCGTCTCCCACAGCCGCGGCCTCTCAGCAATGGGCGCCGTCTGGTCGGCCCTGCTGGTCGGAGGGAGTCTGGCCGGGGCCCTTTTCGTGTGGTTACTGCGGGGCGGCCCCGGGGACGCGGGGATCAGCAAGGGCGCGGAGCCGGATAAGGAGGCCCCTGCTAGGGAGGCTGCGACTCCCGGAGGCCGTCCGGGAGGCGGCGACGACAGCGGCGGCCTGAGCCCTGGCCCTGGCAAGCGGGAGCTGGACAGTAAAGCAGGTATTTCCCGGGTCTGCAGGGGTCCTTGAACTTTCCCGGGGAAGACGGGGTGGGGGTAGGAGAACGGGGAGGGAAAATAGGGGCGGACGAGGGAAGAGGACGGAGAGGAAGAACTGCACCTGGAGCTTTCCTGGCGACCCATCCCCGCGGGACCCTCTCCAAACCTCTGGTTGTTCCTGCAGCTGGCTGGGCTCAAGGCTTCCCAATGGGGTGCTTGGAGCGGGTGGGACGCATGGCTGATCCCCCTCCCCGCTGGCGCCATGCCACGCTGGCCTCTGCCTCCCTGGCCCTCCTGCCTCTCCTCTTGGAGGCGCTGGGCACAATGAGAGGGCCTCATCCCCTGCCTTGGGAAAGACAGGTTCAGCAGGATTATAAGGAGCCCCTACCCTCTTCAGCCTCCACCCAAGCGGAGACCTTTTCTCAGTCCCAGTCCTTCATCCTGGAGACCTCACCCCCACACCCCCGCACCCCTACGGGAGCAGCTGAGTCGGTGGCGGGGGTTGGGGGTGGGGGGTGGGACGACCGAGCTGTGTGCGTCCTGCTTGTCTGGGACAGACGAGAGTCAGGGTGGACTTTGGCTCTGGGTTGTTTCCGGGTGTCCCCTTCAGGAACCAGGGTACACTTGCAGCGCAGCCCCTCACCGAACCCAACCTTTAATGGCGCGCTGGGATTCTGTTCAGTAGAATTGACATTCATGGTGACACATGCATTTTGGAAGACTGCAGGGCAGGCCCGGAGGGATTCTTGGCAGGAAGCCTTGCCTGCCAACATGCTCCCTGGCCAGCTGCCCAGCCTTCCGGGGCGCTGGGCCTGCAGCCTCCTGGGGAAGTGACACCTGTGAGCTTCTTTCAGCCGGCTCGTGTGTCTCGCTCCCACGGTGGGGATGAAGAGACTTGATGTTATCTTTTCTGAAGGTGGCAGATTTGGGAATTCGGAGTTGCATTTGCTCACTTGTCACTTCCAGCCCCACCACTGAAGAGGGAGGAAATAAAAGAGGCCACCCTCTCCCTCTTCCTGATTGAGTGATTTGAGAGATTGCAACCTTGCAGGGAGCTCTTGGGACTGTGGATTCGGTGGCTGGAGGGAGCTGACTGTGTCCTGTTGAGAACATGGGCACTGTGTGCAATGGGAGGGGATGCACAAACTCCTAGGATGCACTGCTCGGGCACCAGATCTTACTGATCCGCCCTGGGTCTATGTGTGCCCACCCCTGCCCTGCCCACCTTGAAAAGAGCAGCTTCTTATCTTGAGAGGAGAGAGTGCTTGCATACCCTGGGTCACTCTCTAAATGCCCACAAGTCCCAGTGAGGGTGAGTAAAGCCGGGAAGGTGGAAACTCCATTCAGGCCTCCCTTATAGTGGCAAAGGACCCACACTGCCTGCTTCACAGTTTCTGTGAGGAAGCTGCTAGCCAGGGGTGTGAGCTGAGACTGACAAGAGAGGTAGGCGTCTTAACTGCGTGCCCAACACTTGCCTCTAGGTGATGTGTTTCAATGGTAGCAGCCAAGTAGTCTGACTTGGCCACTCACCCTCGTGGTCCTGACCATGGGAGACTGAGGACTGTGGCAGGCTGTGCCTTTACAGCTTGCCACTCTATTGATACTTTTGCACTGGTATGCTGACATCCCTGGCTGTGCACGTTAACAGTGCTTGTACATATGTATTCTTGGAGCAAAGAGTATACAAGGGCTTTAAGTTCTGCATATTAGTAGGGGGAAAACTGCCGGGAGCAGCAACGCCTTGGGCAACATGTCATCTCTGCCTGACTATATGTAAGCTGTTGCCTAATCCTGTTATATTTTGTTTGTTTCTTAGAGCAATATCAAGAAAGCAACGGAAGGTTGATTTCTGAAACCAAAGACCTTGGCCACCTGCAGGAGGCAGCATGGCGACAGCAGAACGCTAAAGGAGGTGTCCGCACTGGCTCCCGGGAGCCTGTTCCTTCTGCGAATGGCAGCTCCGGGAGCCATTCGGGAAGTCAAAGTCTGGAATCTCCTAGAGGAGAATGGCGATTTCAGCATGAACGAGAGGTGCTGGCTAAAGCCGGGCAGCAGCTGCCTTCTAGCAAGACACCTGTGGACAGCACAGAAGTGGGTGTTGCCCAGCTGGACAGTCAGGGTGCTGCTGACCAGGATTGGGAAATGGTGTCCAGGCACTCATCTTGGGGGGACATTGGTTTGGGAGGTAACCTAGAGCAGGGAACAGAGGGTGGCTGGAACTTTGTGGAAGCAGGAGGTCGAGAAACAGATGTGAAACCAGGCAGAGTGGTGGCCACATCAGCAGAGGCCCAGCAAGTTAGCATCAGGTTCCAGGTGCATTATGTGACGGGCACTGATGTCGAGTTCATTGCGGTGACTGGAGACCATGAGCATCTCGGCAGGTGGAACACTTACATCCCGCTCCGCTGTAACAAGGATGGCCTCTGGTCTCACTCTGTTCTCCTGCCGGCAGATACCGTGGTGCAGTGGAAGTTTGTGTTGGTGGAGAATGGGGGAGTCACTCGCTGGGAAGAATGCAGCAATAGGGTCCTAAAGACTGGCCGTGGGGATCAAGTGGTTCACGGGTGGTGGGGAATTCCCTGATGGAGTCTGCTGAGTGTGAGACACTTCAGCTGCTGCAGCTGGAGGTAAAGTTAAGACAGTGGACTGGGTAGCACACTGAAGATCCTAAAAGTGGCATGACTCCAGACTTAGCCAATGGAGCTGTTTCAGACTTGCTAGTGACTTGAGTCTAATGTTGTGGTGGTGGTGATGATGCTTCCGGTGAAGCTGGACTTTTCCCCAATGACAATGATGGATTTGTGCTGATCCATCATTACTTTGGGCCTTGATCCTATTTGGGGAGTGACCCCTTAAGCTTCTTGAACTGTGGAGCACAAAACCTGACCCATGGCAGAGTTCCAGTTTCGGCCGTAAGTGATTCTCAGACCACAGAGCCAAAGAATCACAGTCAGAAATAGCTGCCTTTCTATTGGTCCGACTGAGCAAGTGCTCCTTATGATGGGCACATTTCAGGTATAGTTACCGCCCCACTGTTAGCAGGACCAGGAGACATGACTAGGGAGGGGACAGGTGTGGCTGGGATGTACCCAGCTTTTCTGTTTGATTGTGCCGGGGCAGTTTTAATGACAGCGAGTGGGTCCTTAACTTACTGGTCTGTTGATGGCCTGGAGACGACAGTTACATCCATCATGGGAGCAGCCCACAGGAATGGGGACTTGAACGGGGTTAGGACATGGGCTGAGCAGATGGGGGTAGGCTAAGGGCCAGGTTATTGCAAGGAAGGCCTTACAAGACAGCCTCTGTCCACTGTGCCTCTCTCCCCCAAGGCCCTCCAGCAACTGTTTCACCAGTCACCGCCCTCCCTCTCCTTTTATAGCAGTAGTTATCTTAGCTAGTGCATTGATACAGGACAGAAATACAACCTGGCCTGGAGAAGAAATAAGCATATTTAAATTATTGTAAGTGAATAAATAATAAAGCCCAAGTTTAATATCTTTATTAAATGTCTTAATTATCTGTCTGAATCTTAGTAACACAAAGGCCTAAATGTAAAATATTTTCCTGCGTTTACAACAGACATGTAGAGAAAGGTAAACAACAAAAAGCATAGAAGACATGAAAGATGTATTTTTCTCTTCCCTTTGGAGAAAAAGTTTAGAATACTTAAATGTTTCCTTTACTTGGAAGGAAACTGAGCATGCTTGATTTCTTTTTATAATTTACTTGAAAGGCAAATTGACAGAGAATGGGAGTGAGAAACAGAGAGAAATCTTGCATCTGCTGGTTCACTCCCCAGATGGCCTCCATGGCTAGTTCTGGGATAGGCTGACACCAGGAGCTGAGTTCCATCCTAGACTCCAGTGTGTGCTTGAAGAGGCCCAGGCACTTGGCCATCTTGCACTGCTGGAGTGCATTAGCACCGAGCTAGATTAGAAGCAGAGTAAATCGGACTCAAACCTGGCACTCCAATAGGGATGCTGGAGTCATAGGTAGCAGCTTAACCCACTAAGCCACATTTTTTTTCTCTTTGAGTAAGAGAAAGAACACAGGAGGAGGTGGGGGCTAAGTGCTCCTATCTGCTGGCTAATATCCCAAATATTTCCAAAGGCCAGGAGCTGGCAGGAACCCAACATGAGCCACCATCACTGCCTCCTGGGGTCTACATTAGCAGGAAGCTAGAAGCCAAAGGTCAGCATCAGGCACAGACATTGGTACTGAATGCGGGTGTCTGATGCAGCATCTCAAGATGCTGGCCAGATGCTTGCCCTGCAGCAGATTCTAACATGTCAAAATAGCATTCAAATAACATCTGTTGGCAAAACAGTATTTATTCCTGATGAAAAGAATGATATGAAAAACAGCATTACAAAGTAAAAGAACTATGTCACCACCAGCCATTTTCTCACCTATATTTCAGTAAAGCAAACATGATTAAGATGTACTCTTAGCTTTATATTTTTAAAAATCATTACTCAGAATTTGTTGTGCTTGGAGTGCAGATTGACAGCATGCTGAGAGCGAGCCCATGAGGACTGCCTGGTGGGAGCACACACACCCTGGGGCTAGAAGTCTGCTTGCTTAGGCTCCAGCTGGCTGCACACACCATCTGGGCACCAGAGGCTGGCTTCTTATTCATGGGTCAGCACTGAATCTCCTTAGAGGAGGGCAGCTTTCATAAGTCCCTGTTCCCTTCTGCCCCCAAGGACCCTCTTGGCTTCCGTACCTAGAGCATGGAAGAGGAAATGGCAAAATCACAAATGTATATTAGCATGTGTGGCTGGAACTGGGCGTGACGTGCTCTGTCTACATCCTGCCAGTGGGAGCTGAGCAGATGGCCACACCCGGAGCTGTGGGGTGAGGTTGGGGCACAGTATCCAGATGGGCAACTGTTTATCAGTGATAATTCTGTGCTCATCTTTGGGAGGGGGATAGGTGGAGGGCAGGCAGACTTCTACATTATCACTAATATCTTGGCACCATTGAAACGTATTTGTACCTATTCTCGTCTCACCGTATTTGAGTCACATAATAAAACCTGCTAATTTATTTGAATCTGGCTGGTAGGAAGGATACTGGCTGGGATGCCTGCACCTCATACTGGAGTGCCTCAGTTCCAGTCTTGGCTCCAATCTTCATTCCAGCTTCCTGCTAACGTGACTCAGGGAGGCAGCAGGTGAAGGCTCAGGCGGCTGAGTCTCTGCCACCTCATGGGAGACCAGATTGTCAGGTTGTCCAGGCATTGTCAGTATTTGCAGTAAATCAGCAAATGGAACATCTCTGCCTGTCTTTGTGTCTCTCTGTGCTTTTCAAATTAATAAAAACTTTAGGAAAATCAAATGAAGATAACCAAGTCAATGTAGAAGTTACCTATTTGCTAAAGAGCAACAAGATTTTTTTCTTTATTAACCTAGACATCGAGAAACTTGGACGAGGTTTGAGTGGGAGCCCCATTGCTCAGTTGTCTGAGTGCCTCCAGTGATGTTGACAGAGCAAACAGCGAGTTCATGGTCACAGAGGAGTCATCGTTGTCATGCTGGAGTTTGCCCTCGTGTCCTAGGCATTATACCACAACTCTCTTGCCCCTCTGAAAGTAGTTTTCCTGCCAAGAATTTCTTTTTCTAAGGCAGAAAAAAATAGCTCTATTGTCTCAGGACCAGTAAACATAAGAAAACACACAATTATTTCATTCCACAGGAATAAACACAAATGAATGAATACCTTACAGTGTTTGAATACTTGCAAATCTAGCATTATTTGAAGTTTTGCTGTAACAGCATTCAAGAATGTTTTATTTCAGAATAGTTTACAGGACAGGATATCTTTTATTAAATTTTCACATAAAAAGCAAAAAAGTACATGGGTCACTAATTATAAACAACACCACAATTAATCAGGCATCATCCCTCCATAAAGAATAGGCAAGCAATGTGTCATTTTAGTAGCATTTTTTCCTGGTCTTTTACTTTTTGTATCCTCTTTTCTTGATTTCTGATCATTGAAGACATTGCTGAAAATATTGATAAAACAAAGTTAGAACAGTAAATTTACACAGGCTCTAGATTCTAAACTGTGTTCCTTAAAGGACTGGCATGGTAGTGATATAGGAGAGAGAAATTCTGGACTCCAGAAAGTCCTAACAACCGTAGAGGAGCATTGCTGCTTGGAACAGAAAGAATTCTACTCTCCTGGTTGTTTCAAATGAGTAGTATGGAAGACATACTAATTGTCAGAGGGGGGCCAAGAGATGAAGATCAGCCTGTCTACCCTCAGTCTGCTGCTGTGCCGCCCCCTCGTAGGGCACCCCTGAAAACTGGTGAATATCAGGGTACTTCAGAAAAGCCCACAGAAGATGGAATCAAAGATACTTTGTTCTGGGGCAAGCAATCTGAAGTTCATGTGTACAAAGTGTTCAGAAAGCTTATGGAAGGGACACGCATCTGGCCCAGGGACTCGGACCCTGCTTGGGATTACCCGCATCCCCAGCTGGAGTGCCTTGACTGGAGTACCAGTTTGACTCCCAATTCCAGTTTCCCACTCAGCTAGATGAATCCCTACAATGGGAAGACTAACTGAGTTCCAGGCTTCTGGCTTCATCCCAGCTGTGCTCTGGCTACCGAGGGTATCTGTGGAGTGAACCAGCAGATGGAGGATTTCTTCTTGTCTCTTCACCACTCATCTCTGTCTCTCTTACTTTCAGATAAGTAAACTTGAAAATTTTTAAATGTGCACTATGAAAAACTACACAGTTTTCACTATTTGCTCATATCTTGTAGTTCCATTTCTAGAATTTTGTGACTTTCTCCTCTATCTGCACACACATGCATTCCTCTTTTTATATGATAGGCGATATGCACATCTTGTAGTTTTCACTGAACAGTATCCCAACCTGCTTCTAGTTCAGCTCACATTTTGTTATGGCTGCATAGCACTTCATTATACAGAGGTAACAAAATGTCAGTAATTAAAGTGGCTTCCTTACTTTTCTTCATATAGAATGTTGGATGGATCAATACTTGTGACACAGACTTCTGTGCATCAGTGCAGTCATTTCTTGTAGAACAAATTGCTAATCTTGGTCAAAGGAATATGCACTTCAAATTAGGTAAATTCTTCCATAATTCTTTCCCAAAATACTTTTTTTCAATTAGCAATAATCACACCTCAACCGAACCTAATTAGCCACAATACTGTCAGTGTGCAAAGGTCCAAAAATAATTGTTTCATAATTTCCAAGGGACATTGTATACAATAAATGTCTTAATTTTCAAATAAAACAACACATCTTCCATTAAACAAAATAAAATCTTATAATAAATGCAAGACATTTTTTCCTGTTGCTTATATATACATAGGAGTCTGAATTACTCAAGGGATCTGGAATGTTCTTTTAAGGACAACCTGAAACAGCCTTGGCATAGTAAGACATATGAGGACTCTGGAGTCAGCAACTACTAAGATGGCATCTCAGCTCCACAGCAACTTCCTGTAGGGGCTGGTCCTGTCGCACAGCAGGTTGGGTTGTGGCCTGTAATACCAACTCCATTCTAACGGCCTGAGCAAGCAGCAGAAGATGGCCTACGTGTTTGGGCCCCTGTTCTCCATGTGGGGAACCTGGATAAAGCCCCTGGCCCCTGGCTTCAGATTGTCCCAGTCCTGGCTGTTGCAGCCATTTGGGAAGTGAAGCACTGGACTGAAGATCTCTCTCTCAAGAAGTGGATTTAAGATCTTTTTCTCTCTTTCTGTGACCCTGTAACTGTCTGTTTCTCAAATAAGTACATAAATCTTAGAAAACAAACTAGAAAAAAAAACTCACAATAAATTGCCTGGGGTTGTCGTTAAAAAAGAAAGAAAGAAAAAAGAAAAAGAAAGTCGCTATGTGACCCATAAGCGATGTGTGTGACCCAGCCAGTGACTGGCTCTGCTTTTGTGTTTCGTTTCCTTGTTTTCAAATGATGCCCATTCCCAGTGCTGGGATCACATCAAGAAACTGTTAAGGGCAGCACTAGCACATAGCTGGAATTGCCCAATAAATGCTAACAGCAATTGGTAGTATGTTTAAATTTCACAGATTTGTTTTTGGAAAAATTCTCTATCTTCCTTGATATAGCACTTGTATTTTCTAGGGATGGAAACAGAATAACAGATGCACTCCAACATGAATCTCTCGCCTGGATTCAGGAAGTTGTGTCACAAACGCAGATACCAAGGGCGACCCCACTGGCTCACGTTCTCTGGTCCTCCTCTGTCTGTGGTAGCTCTCATTCAAACAGCGCTTGTATTTTTAGAAGTGGCTTATCTTTTTATCTGGCATTTCACTGTGTGGCCAAGTCATTTACAGCACTACACTAATTTAAAGTCTAGGTAAACTAGATACCACTGTTGTTTTCTGGCTGTGGATGGAGATCGCACCCTGGTTACCAGGGGAAACATACAAAGGCTTGTCCACAGAATTAATGGGGACAAAGAAGAGTATGTG